AAAGCAGCTGCACGGCAAAGCAGTTTGCACAAATAACTTTGATGTTCTGATGCACATCCATGGTGCGACACCGTTTATTACAAGAGTCATCATTTTCTAAAATAAATTACCAATTCTTGCATATTGCAATTTTTTAATTTTATTATCAATTTTACCGAAAACATCTGGGTATCAGTCAAGCTTATATTTTTTATATTTTTAAGGACTATCTGAAAAATCGTTTTCGTTTCACTAATAGATACTAATAGATACTAATAGATACTAATAGATACTAATAGATTCATTGTGCTTTCGCTTTTTAATATACATATAATTAAATATATTTTGTTTTCGTACGTATATATTAAAGATATGAATTATATGATAGTATGCATATGCTGTAGACATTGTGAGGTATCGTTACACGATATTGCCAATCATTTCGCTAGCGAAATTATATGGTCTTACTGCTAATATTGACTTTCGCAACCGCAATAAACCTTCGCTCACGGTTATTCACGCGATCATTTTCGCGCGTATTGAGTAATTAGCGAAACTCGAATTGCATGTAGTGGCAATTTTAAATTGGGAATGAATGCGATAATAGATTCAGAATTGAATTGTCAAAGAAGCCCCCTGCAAGTTTATATGCGCGCCAATAAATCGACTGGGTTACCTCGAATTGCTTAATGTATCGTAAAGTTTAACGGCAGTAATTTGTATGCATTTTCGGTTATCAATTTTTTTAACAACGCATGGATTCAATCGCGCGAAACGGTTTTACTGCATGTCTGGCGAAAAATAAACGCGTAGGGAATTATATCGAGCTCCGATCATCCGAGATAAAAGATTTGTCGTTATATCTTAGTATACCCTTACGTGACTCGAAGGTACAAAAGAGAAAACGTAAAATTCCGAGGTAGCGCGCGACACAAGAAAAACGAGAGACTGCTGGAGAGATCACCCCCTACGAAAGTACCTCGTTTCCTTTATAAATGGATTAGGTCACTATTGTCCAGGTCCTCGAAGATAATCCTATGCATGCCGTGTCGTGATCCAGCAGTCACAGCCAGAGAATAAATCTCTCTCCACTCTAAATGCTAATGAGCCTCGTGTGAGCGATACTTTTGCATCGTTTTGGGATAAACCGATGAAACGAGATAGCAACTGCACTTCATTACGTTCATTACTACCTTATAAAAATGCTGAAGCATTAAGCGAGAATGAGTAATTCATAAATACATTTTCAGCGAGGAAATCTAACTCTTTCCCTCTAAAATATTGACGTACGGTTCAAACGATGATGAAATCATGAAGAGAGAAATTTGAAGATAAGCTCATTCCTTGTTTATATAAAGTTGTCATAACTCGCAGTCGTTACAAATCTTCATCTATATTAATACATTAAATGATAGTAATCCATATATACTAATTAGAATAATTAATTATTCATGGGAATTATGGAAATATATGAATTACTCGTCTGATGATTAAACTTGAAATTAAATTTACATTGATATTGTCAAAGGTACTTTGCTATAATAATGTAATATGAAAATCGATTGGAATTTGATATGAGAGAGGATGCCCTATATATCTTGCCTGATTTATTTTAAGGCGCAGCGAGAACATGTAATGCATCGCATCGAACATATATTGCGTAACATCGATCCAAGCCTCGCGAAAGCGCCGTAATTTGTTTGTTAGAAACGTCGACAGAAACTCTATGTAAAACTTATTACATCGCATCATAATCGGCAGGCACATAAGCGATTCGTGAGCGCCGCGCGAAAATACTTAATTGTTTGCAAACTTGTGTAACGTAATATTTCCATAACAATGTTAAGCTTATTATGTTCGGAGCAAATCATATCGGCATGTCAAAATCGGATCTGGAGCTCGATGTTCTCCGTACGAGAATCGTCGTCCTCGCGTCATCCTTTCTCTGCAGGAGATATCGGCATAATCTTGCGAGATTATAAGCCATTCACCACCCGCATAATTCTCCGGGATCTCGATAAATCCACGTGTACGTGACTCGCTGATTAGTTCCAATTTGCTGCTCTATATCAGCGAAAATATTTATTAATTACTCATGGTACGTCGGCGTGTTTTCGCGTATTTTACCAAAATATGTTACAAAGGAAATTTTTTTTTTAATTAATATTGCAAATTCTTTTATATTATACGAGTATAAAAATTTGAATAAAATTAAATTTGATGAAACATAATTTCAAATTCCCGAATACGTCACCATACAGAAAAAAAAATGGTTAATTGAAATAAAATATTACTCGGATGAATTTCTCGAAATCGAGTCGAACGTAAAATTCACTTGACGCAACAGTCGAAAGCAAGAGAAAATCCAGATAATCGCACATTAAAATTAGAGATAAAAGATAGCGAGGATCGCGATTGCGAAAATAATAGCGGTAGGACGGAATGCTGTGTCAAATTTGCATCGCGCGATACCACCGCGATAACGGCTTATCGATAGTGCATGTTGCAGCCGTGGGAGGTGCAATCTGTGATCCGTATCCCTTTCAGCTGCGGGCATTAACGCGCTGTCGGCCTCACGATCCTAGCTCTTCCGGATTGGAGCTGTGAGTGGAATGTCCGCGTAAACCAGGAAACAGTTACTGCCACAAAGACTGCCAACTAATGCCGCGACGACGGCCACTCCGACGACGACATACCTTCCGCGAAGTTTCGCCGTGGCATTTGCTACGGTCGTGCTAATGCGCTTAATTGTTACTGCATATAGGTTGAAAGGATATATCAGATTTCTTGGCACAGCTAGTGGAGTATCGTGTTTGCGTGTCAAAACTGCGGCAATTGTCTTCAAATGGATAGTCACGTACATATTCATGTTGTGCGCGAAACAAAAACAAAAAAAAAGAAAGACGTGTGAGTCATCTAAGGGATTAAAAATTTTCCTCTTAAGCATTTTAATCCAAACGACTCATTTTTATGCGAGAGGGATGATACCGTTTCTGTCGCTATCTCGAGTTTTACTTCTTTACTTCGCTTATAAAAGTTGAAAATTTCTTCGGTATCCATATCGCGGAAAATATGTTGGAAAGAAATTCAGTTTTGTGCAAAAAAAGCTATGTGCTTGCCGATGATCTTGATACGGGATTAAAAGGCGCTTTAACGAGGTCATCGTCAGGCACACCCAGGCGGCAAACACCTGCGAAGCGTGCCTCGCCTTCTGGGCGGGCCATACACAACCATTTGCAGCTGCATGAAAATTGCAAGATACGACGAAAATTGCTCCGTGCCCTCGCTCGAGCATCTTCTCGCGCTTCTCGGTATTTACGAGCTTACGACTTGTGCACTACGCTATAAAAGGGGATCGAGAGCACGGCTGAACCGAGGCATCTAAGGTCTCAATGATTGATACATGATATTCTGAGGGTGAGAGAGAGAGAGACATGTTTCTTTAATATTGTTATCTTTCTCGTATTTCGGTGCGAGAATACCGTTTCGCGCTTTACATTAGAATATCTTCGAATATCAACGTAGAAGAGGAGCTTGCGGAAGGATCAACAGAAAGATAAAACTAAATAAAATGTATAATCGATGAGAAAGAGAGAATTTCGTATTCAGAAAATTACCGGGTAAACTTTTAAGTCGCTGGCTTTGCGAAAGTTCGCGGTTTTCTAACGATATAAATTGCATGATATAACGAATGCAGTAGAAAAAAGGATAATCCGCTTTTTGTGATTCAGAATGAGAAGTAAAATGTTCACCATAATTGTTATAGCTACAGCAAAAGCTTTACTATAATGATACCTTATTTAGAAATCCAAAAAACCGAAATTACAATGGCAAGCACAAAAATTCTCAACGATGGTAATAACATTATAAGAAATTGATGCCGTTTGCTATATTTTACAAAATTATCCAACTATAAGTATCATCGTAAAAATTTTTTACTCTAATATTACATTTTTATGTAGAAAAATTGCACATTCATTGAGTGATTTTTACAGTCAACAAGTAAATTAACAATTGCCATAAAGCAAAAACAGGAATACAATCATAATATCTCATCCGGCAATGCTTCGAGTATTAATATAAATGCCATCGTACATATTGCCTTTAACGCTGACGCTGCCAGTAGGAATACCGTTGGCTTATTGGCAAGGAATGAAAGATTAAAAAGAGAACTGTGAAAACCATCAACATCGTTATAATCGATAATAATATCACATTAATATCCGGACAAAATAAAGCTAAGTTTGAACTCTACATAATATAAGAAAAATCCTCGATAAAATCTAATCATATTATAATATGAGAACAATTTTTTTAACAAAATGTTTATTAAAAACAAATATTAATTTTTAAAAAATATTGTATTTGTGCTTTCATATTTCCTATAAATATAATATCGTCAAATCTCATAATCTAATGTTTCAAAAATTTTTATTTTATCCATGCTTAGTTTTAATTTTGTCAAACGCGCTGAAATAAAAATCCATCGAGAAAGCATTACATATAATAAGTGCAATATCCGAAAACTGCAATAGAAACATTTCCGAGCTCGATAAATTCTCCTTCAAAGTCGATACTCGGTATATGGTTCGAGGGTGCCGGCGTTAAATATCGCGGCCAACATTCGTAATCTCGGGACAGGCAATAACAGTACTTTCATCCTACCCCTAGGCGCGCTTGCAACCCTTATCCAACTAACAACTTTAATAATAACACAAGAACAGCACGTGACGTTTGCGCGACCGCACAAAAGTCATCGGCGACAATGCTCTCGCAGCGGCAATGGAAATACCATCGCGGACGCCAGAGCAGAGCCGTCCTCGCAATCAAGCAGGCCGATGACGCGACGGTAGGACTACGGACAGCAGCGCATGATAGGGTGGCATGCGGGTGGGTGAGAGTCGGCATGGTTGGGCATCGTACAGCGCGCGAGAGAGTGGCGGCGGTGGTGGTGGTAAGAGTTGACGTCGGTGGTCGGGGGCTGATATCTAGCTAAGCGCTGGCGCAGTTGGGTCGCGGTCTCCACCACGGCAGCATTTCGCCCACCGGTCTCTTTACGCACCTATCTCTCCCTCTCGCTTCCTACCCCCTTATAGATCTCTCGCCTACCCCGCAATCTCCTCTCACGACCCCTCGTGGTATCCCACCTCCCCCACCTGCCGGCCTTTCGCGAACCGTGCATACACGACACTGGATGCACGACACCTCCCTCTCCGTTCACCCCTTTTTCCCCTGGCACCTATGCGTGAACGTGTTCGCGGCCGGACGTGTTAGTGTGAGTGCGGTATGATGAATGAACGGCGTTTTAGAGGGACGGATGTAACGCGCGGTCCCACCTAGTCTTTTCGCACGATCGTACGTCACACACCGGCGTCGCCGGATCCTTGTGACGATGCATCTCGCAGGAGAACTGTAGTTCGCCCACGTGGAAGTACGGACCAGCTGCGCTGGAAGGATTTAGTGGCGCGCCGGTTCTCTCTCTTTCTCTCTCTCTCTCTTTCTTATTCTCTCTCTCTGTGTGTGTGATTACGCGAGACTTGTCGCCCAGTCATTCACACAGTTCGTGACAGTTGATAAGGGACGAAAAGGTATATCTGGTGTGCTCGTGACGACAGATGCGTGAGATGTTTCCCCTTGATAATGAACGATGCATTCGGTGGTGTAACGACGAACGAGTGCGTCGAGCGACTTTAAAGATTAGACTCGAACACTCTACGATTCAGTTTGACGAGTGCGGGACTGATCGTTAAATACGCGATCCATTTATTAGCCATGGGTGTGTTTTTTTTTTACTATTGACTGAATGCACGGGCGAATGAATTTTTCACGCATAGAGAACGCGATGAATAATGAATCGTAATAGAAACGGGCACGTGGTCGTTTTCGCATCATCGATATTTTGTGAATATTTCGTGTGATGAATGCTATGAATATAGAAAAATCGTCATTTTTAAATTCCACTCTATCGCGTTGATGAATTGTGTTTTTATCTCAGGTAATTTGACTATTTTTCGAAAAAAAAAATCTTTTTAGTGTATTTTTTATTTAAAATTATATATAATTAATATATCTCTAATTAAAACTAAGTGGTTTCTTTACATATTGAAGATAAATCATTAATTCTATGGAAATTTTTTAAATATTCATTATTAAATAGTCGTATCGAATAATAATGTGAATTTAATTATTTTGATTATATGTACGCATATTGGACAGCTAAGTATAATTAACATAATATTATTAATATTGCAAATCGCGCGATTTTACTATCAATTCTTGACAATGATTCGTCAATTCCTTGACAATGATTCAATCTCTGATTAAACTATTTATTCAGCCTCATTGCAGCACACACGAGCAATTTATATTAGTATCTGCCTCGCGTGCGGATGCATTCACTGAAATTCAATGACAAGTGAAATTAATATCCCTGGTCGTGTTGTGTGCATACCAAATTAGTTCTGTCGATTATGATTTGCTGCCCACAGTAACACCCGACCACCACCCGAGTAATGGACGCGCGAATTCAATTGAAACCATATCACGTTCGTTTTCAATCGAGCATTCCGCCGCGCGTCACTTACTGCAAACTTAACGGAGAACCGAAACATATGCATACATATGTACGTGTACATATATATATATATATATATATATATATATATATATATAGTATATGAAGCGCATTTTCGCACGTTGCGTGCGTTTAATCCCACATATTGTTGATTTCGTTGCTCGTGCTTGACACGAAGGCAAATACCACGTACACTTTTCAGTAGTGTAGAAACAACATTACGTGCGCGATGCGATAAAGGGTCTATTTACACATATCCGTATCAGTGCCACATCCGTTCAGTTCGGTGATTTTTCATCAGTATCAGTGATAATAATTATCATTCCTTTGTTCTGGAATGGATGTGTTCACACATATCCGGTACAATATTCGGATCGTTCAGTCTCAGTTCAGTGCGTCCGTACAGTGACATATTGGGTTTATTGCCAAGAATATTTGTGCAGCAATAAGCTGCTTGTGGATTATTTTATGCAGAGCAAATCACTTTTTCGTGGCAAATAAAATATGTTCATTACGTAATTACGGTAAAATTTTAAATAATTAATATAATATTTTATTTGCATTCGAATCCACAACTTAAATGTAAATGTGTGCCTATATTTATATAGATATCTTTTAGGTTTATAAATATAATAAACAATTAATTAAATTAGTGCGGCAATATTCTGTACTGTATGATTTATCACATTTGAAATGTATGGACACCTTTTTCAAACTCATTGGTTTCCTCTTCATCCAAAATTGTATAGCAATCATTGCCAATTCGTCCGTAAACTGAGCCATCTCGAAAAAACACTGAATTCAAACTGTACGAACATGTGTGAATAATTATCACTGATCTCACTGATAGGTACGTCATGGATATGTGTAAATAGACTTTAAACGTTCTCTCGTCTCCGTTTTTGCTGTCGGCGCTTGAAATCGTAATCACGCGGTGGAAGTAATTACTTTTCCCCGAGTAATTGCGCACCACTTGCGCATGACGGTCCACTGCATAATTTGGGAGTATCAAGTATATCGTCGTATATAATATGAGATGTTAACCTGATTACTGGAACGATCATTTTCTCGCTTTAATTTCTACGCTCATGCTAAGCTGTTGAAAATAATTTAAGGTACATATTTTGCATACACAGTTTTAATTAATCAAATAAAGTTACAAATTATAATATTCTCATTTATTGCTTAATTTGATGACGTGGTTATTTTAGCACTGTCGTTGCTTTGTTTGCTAAATTAATCTAATTTTACGAGAAACATTGTCAATAATAAATGAAAGAAACAACAAGGGGAAGTAGTAAGTGTTACAACTGTCACTGATTGTGAATTCCACATTGGACATTATTTTTTATCAACTAGGAAGATACATCGCCTTTGTCGAATTGTTGTGACTTTGAAGAAACAGTTGCAGTGAAATGTACCGGAAACGATGGACTATAAAAGTACTCGGAATGAATTTACGATATAACGGCAATGGGACCAGTTGGTGCATACCTTTCAAGATGATCTGCACTTTCTTTCTCTTCATACTGCTGCACGGTAAGCAAGCGTTGAATTTTCTCTCTAAAATAGATAGAAAATCATTTAGCATATTAGTTTATTTAAAGAGATAAGTCGAGCAGTGTATAATTAAAAATTTTTCAAATATTTATATCACAGAATAATGTAAAAATATTTTGTTTTAATAAATTTATATAATTAAAATAATTTTCATTACGTAAAGATAATACTGCGATGAGCTGGAACATCAAAATTTTATTTGCAAAATATCAAATATTTTAAATAATACAAATATTTTAACAAATGCATACATTACTCAGTTTCAAGTAAATAATCTGTCTGACGTAGTGTATATTTTAATATCAAATAAATTGCATAAATTCTATAAAAATGTTGTCCGTCAAACAAATAAACACGCATCTCGAAACTATAAATAAAACAATACCGTTGTTAAGGAGCAAAAAGAAGTTAATGGTTGAACTGCAACGCGCGTACATATTTATTTGTTAATTGGGGCAAACGACCGTACGAAAGAAAGAAACGAATACGAGAGACAACAATGACTTGACATATGTTGTTGCGGCGGGAATAACAACGTCGTAGGAAAATGCGTGCAGCGCATTTAAAAAGCATGCATTTGACATACTCTCTTTGGTATGGAACAGCTTTTACGACGTAACGTCATGCGCGAATCCGACCGCGCGACCATTAACGGAATTGCCACGAGCATATTTTTCCATTCGATAAACACCATCTGGAAAACACGGCGAACGTTGTTGTAACGCTGTGATAACACATTCGGAGAAATTTTTTTTGTACGTTAAGGCGATGCACGATACGATAGAATCGATGCTGTTGCATGTTTCGTATGGGATCATAAATTTTCCGCTCGACGGTTTTGTATTTATTCAACACGATGATTTGTAGTAACAAGACGGATGCTTCGTTCTAGCAGATCGCTCTTCAGAGCATTCCATCGTCAATTATATTCCAATTAATGCAAATTCAATTATTTCATTCGCGATGGTAGAACAATAATTATTTATTAGTTGTTCATCGAATACAATTCTCGAAATACACTTTTTATTGCGTGTAAATTATTAATGTATCTCATTACTATTGATTAATATTATTATTATTTCACATGTGCTCGCTACATCGAACACTTTGTAAATGTTTTAAAGATTGCGACACAGCACATGAAACCAGCCAATTTTACGAGCGCGGTTTACGAATTGAGAAAAGTATATAAACCCTCGTATCTCGAAAAGAAGTGAAGATCTTGCCGGTAAGTGTAACTGGTTTGAAGATGCAAGCCGCGTTATTTAGTCGCAGATCATAAACGGGAATGCAGTAGTGTACCGCCAATGTAATATCGCGCAGCGACGTCTTTAAAACCGCTCTCTCCGGCTGACTATCATCAGACCATTACTACTCGTATCAGCGCGACTTTCACCGAGCTCCGTAAAATCTCGCGCAAATCATTTATTCATCACGCCTGATGATTTTATTTACCATGAGATACATTATTTGTTGTCTAGCTGTGTTAAAATAATAATAATAATCTCTATTGTGCAAAATAAATGTACAGGGAAAATTTGACAATAGGTAGTATATAGATTAACAAATCAATCTGAGAATTTATATTCAACAATGCAATTTTATTTTTGTGTATGGAATATTTATTACAAGATTATTTATTTTTAGTAAATTATATTATATAAATTACCAAAATTATAAAAAAATATTTATACGACAAAGAATCGAAGAAACAAATTGATATTCATTTCGATGTAAAACTCAAAATCAAATTATTTTTATTTCGATTTTACGCAATCTTTTCCTTTTGCGCTGGTCTGTACATTCTCGTTTGGATTTTTTAACGAACCAATTTTTATTTTGTTTATTTTTATTTTCTTGTTTTGCTACTAACAAATATAAATATTATATAATATTGATTCTGTAATATCAAAAAATAATTATACGAAAACAGCTGTAAAATGGTTATATTTTGATAGCTTTCGTGCGTACGTATATATATATATATATATATTGTATTACGTGCGTACATTAAACCTACATATACTTTATTGTAAAAAAAATTGTAATTTTTTATTAAATACACCGCGACGCGCCGTATAAGTTTATCACTTCGCCATTATAGTACATATATTTTCTTCAACGTTCTTTTGCTTTTTATTCTCGTTTATGCGCTTCATCGCGCATTATCTACTATAGTTCATACTTTACGTGATCTGACATGTATTCGCTTCGCAGATATATTGTAAAAGCATGATAATATGATGTTCGCAACGTTATATCCTTATTTTATACAAGAAAAATAACATTTTATAGTATTCAGAACTAAACCGAGATATTCCAGAATACAACAGAAATAATTAATTGATTCTGCCAGGAAAAGAGAAAGAGATAGATAATTTTTTTTAATTTTTTATTTTTACTCTTCTCTGTATTTTTAATTTTTATTCTTTTCTATACTTAATGTAGAAAAATTGTGCACATGAAATTTAATTCTAAAATTTTCGAGGCAGAATATAATCGTATAATCTGTAATACTATCGTGAAAATTCTTCCTAATACGATATAAGCAACGCTACAAAAGCGGATATATATGTGCTATCGAGTAGCTCAGTCAACGTATCGATTCCTTGATACGCTTTGCGGCTGCAATTTTCAATCAGCCCAACTGAATGATCGCGGCTGAGTAACGTGTAGCTACCGCACATATCCATTAGGAAATTGAAAATTGTAGATGTTCTACGTCGAGGTCCGATGGCACGCGGCTCAAAATGAGAAAAAAGCAAATTGCTGTACATGCGAGCGCAAACGCGCATACACATACATGTATACATATACCTATACATATACGCGTAAATAACGCATGGAAACTATGTCAAATAGTTACTATGTCAATAAATTTTTCTACATTAAATGGCAATTTTCTGACTGTTGCACGCGACAATTTCCAGTAACGCGTCGAAATATCTCTCCCTCGCTATTTCCGAATCCATAAATCGATTCTCAACATATCCGGAATGCAGGTCTCTCTCTCTCTCGCAGTTAAGATGATTCATACTTTTGACTTGCCAAGAGATTTGCATCCATCGTGTCATCGTCATCGTCGAAGTAACCGGCGTTAATTATGATCGGATGCTCTTTCCGAGCAGCTGACTTGGCTGTCGCTTAATACGATTAACCATAATTTATACATGAAGTTGCGGTTAAATATGCGGGACGTAAATTATAAAACTCGATACCTCGCGACCCTCACATTTACTCTAGATTGATGTTTTATTCAAACGACGCCGCTTAAGATCGAAAGCCGCTTCGCTTCGTCGTAATCTGTAATTTTGTATTCACCTTCAATATTTGCGTCGTAGGATTAAGTTTAACTAACGGACGCGATGTTTCCGGCACTGCAAGTAAAATACTTGATCCGAGTTCGCAGTATCCCGATTTTCTCTTTGATACTTGAGATTAGGAACGCAATGCAGAGACTCGAACTGGTTCAAATAAAATACGATTGCGCTCGAATTTTGCAAAGCACATCGTATCGTCTATTTAATAAATTTTGAATTACATATACACATGTGTTTGCGAGTAATAATGTTATTCGTAAATGATATTAAAAATTGTATGTTGATGTTGAGCAATATTATAATAACATGAAAGGAAATAGAAAAAAATAAATTGACGAGTTTGCAGAAATTAACCGGTTAGGTACATTTGACCTTTTTATTAAATGACATCTTACATCTTAAAGAAGTATTAGAAATATAATTGTTGCAGGGACAGAGAAAGAAAGAAGGAGAGAGAGAAAAGTTTTCAAATAAATATCTACGAAAGAAGTTTTAACTTCTTGAAATATCTTTGTTCAAATATATCGTCGAAGATAAATCAACATTAACTATCAATTGAATTGTGGGTAACTTTCACTATAACTTTAATTGTTTCTAGCGTAATGTTGATTGTATATATATAGTATATTATATATAGGAAAGATAATTTTAACTTTCCAGACACAATTTAAATACATAATGTTGACATCTAAATGTATTTTGCTATTTAGATCAATAATGCTATATTTTAGGCATGAAGAGAAAATTAAAAATTTATTTCTACGAAATAATTAATTAAATTATTACAATGTTAAATAATCTACTCAAATATAGTTTCGCATATATATATATATATATATATATATATATATATATATATATATATATCTAATCGCTCACGGTCTGCAAAACCCAGGTTATTCATAGAGCCATTATCGTCATTATCGATCTTAAGAAAAGATCATTACTTTAACGGATTATCGGACGTCGTCGATTTTCGTCGTAAAAAGGGCTAAATCCCCGGACTTCGTCGGCCTTGGGCCGCACTACGATGTGCTTTTTTGCTTCTCCCGAAATCTCTGATCCGATCGGAAGTTCATTTCGAAGTAACGCCTTCGATAAGATTCTTACAAGTAGGTGCTCCGGTTAAGGAAGGAGTGTGACGGAAGAGGGAAGGAGAAACGAACTTTCGTTGACTGGGGTATTCAGAAATGCAAACTTTTATCCCTGCGAAGCGTTTGCGAAGTCCGCGAGCATTCAATGTACGTTTCGATAACTCGCTGCATTCGTCAGTGCTACATCGATCGAGGGAACGTCGCGATTTTACTACCGATACAAACAATGGAATCAAACTTGGCGATTAATGGCGAATGAACTCGGAGGAAAATTCCCCGCATTGTACGGAAAGCGAATCGAATGGACAAAGAGTCCTTTTTTCTCGTGCTATTAAGATTTCTGAGTGGTTCCGCCAAGCCCCTCGTTACTAGAGCCTTGGAAGACGAGTTTTCTTCCGAGATACTTAATTAATTAGGAACCGGCCGCATAAATGCGATGCCCTTAATTTAGCTCGCCCACGATCTCCCCGTGATCGACCCATTTCCATCCTTCGTTTAGCTGCAAACTCCATTAAAAACTCGTTGTTCGATTTTCAGTTCGAATACAAGTGCGACACGTGTACAA